TATATAAAAGTAATTGTAATGGATCCTTACTTGTAATTATGTGAGTCAAATTAGTCCCTTCTGTTAAATATAGGCAAACGGAGTTAATGGACTGATGATGTGGCAGTAGTCACTGATTAGGTGTCAACACGTAATTGAGATTGTGCTTACGTGGTGTTAGGGCACCTGATTTTAAAATTGGATTTTAATTAGAAATTGGGGATAAAATAATTTGGGAGTGATTTGTTGCAGATCAGGGCATTTTATTTGAGATTGTGCTCACACACATTGTTTGTATTTTGGTTGCTTCAGTTCAGCAGCTTCACCATGCGGCGTCCTTGGGCGCCAGTGCGAGGAGTCAAAATGCCGGTAGCGAGAAGAAGCACGGTCACGGTCACGGTCACAGACACAATCTGAGTGAGTGCGCTTCGGATCTGAGCGAAGCTTGTTCGACACCGCGAGGTAACAATAGCAACAACACGCACGTGATATCGTTCACGTGATATTGTTCTACATCCTCGGCGAGGGAGGGTTCGACACCGTTTACAAAGGCTACATTGATGAGAACGTCAGAGTGGGACTCAAATCGCTTCCTGTGGCGGTTAAGGTTCTGAACAAGGAAGGATTACAAGGACATCGAGAGTGGCTTATGCGTTTTGCTTTTGCATCTTCTTTTTTACTTACTTGATTAATTTGTTTATTTAATTTTGTGATTTGTGTGTGTGCAGACGGAGGTGAATTTTCTAGGGCAGCTAAGGCATCCTAATCTGGTGAAGTTGATTGAGTACTGTTGTGAAGATGATCATAGGCTGCTTGTGTACGAGTTCATGTTCCGAGGGAGTTTGGAAAATTTGGGTTATGTTTGGATGGATTTCTTAACTAGCATTTCAAAAGAAATAAAATAGAAAGTAAAATGCCCTAATCTCCAACAAATCACCCCAAATCATTTTATCCCCAATTTCTAATTAAAACCCAATTTTAAAATCAGGTGCCCTAATACCACGTAAGCACAATCTCAATTACGTGTTGACACCTAATCAGTGACTACTGCCACATCATCAGTCCATTAACTCCGTTTGCCTATATTTAACGGAAGGGACTAATTTGACTCACATAATTACAAGTAAGGATCTATTACAATTACTTTTATATAGAGGGACTAAATTGAGATTTCCGAACCAAACTGGAGACAAAATTGGGTATTAAACCTTCTTATTTTATGCTTAAGTCAATAAATCAAACAATATTGCATATCACAATTTGAGAATAATCACTTCTTTCCATTATTAGATTACAGTTCCTTTCTTGATCTTTTGATGAAATAATAAATGAGTGTGATGATGAACTCAGTATAACTAAGGGCCAAATGTTCTGGTACTCAGTAGTGTGATGATGCATCTTTTTCTCATGTAGCATTCATTTATGAGCAATAATGTCTGCGAATACGATAGTTATAATGCCTTGAAAAAACACCTTAATTAGTAATTACCCTATAAATTGCTCGTGATCATTTAAATAAATAGTGATGAGATCCAACTTAATTAATCTTGTTACGTCTATCTATCTTAAGAAAACATTATAAATTTCTTCCTAAACACTTACAAACAAAAATTAAACTATCTCTTGTAAGTTAAATTAATAATTTAAATAATTTAAAGAAAGTATGAGCTTTGTACCAATTAATTTATATGTAAGTTAAATGAATAATTTATATGTAAGTTAAATGTTGTTTTATCTTAAAAAAGTAAAAGTTCTTTCAAAATTATTCTTCATTGAATTCAACACTTGCAACAAAGTTTGACTACTCCAATGTGCTTTTGTACTAAGTTACCTCCTATGAATTAATACAACAACAAAAAGGTAAATAAACAGAAACTAAAAAAATTCATGTTAACTATTGATACATAGACACGACAACTTCATGAAGAGGAACCAGTAAAACAAGAATTAACATGAAAAATCAAGAATTCCTGCATCAGTTCTCCTCACACTCCTAACTTTTGGCACTGAATCAGTGGATTTGACTCCATTATAGCAGCTATAGATTTGTTTCTGAAGTCCTGTGACTCCTGCACTCTGGTAAAAGAAGAATTAAAAAGTAGGTAAATAATACGATTTTCTTTTGGTATTTTGGGATATTAATAAGAATTTTCAACAATGCATCCTTTTACTTCTCTGTTTCCTTAAGATTATTATTGTCTTGATTCTAGCATTAAATCTTTTAGTCATCTATACTAAGTAGATAAAGAGGATACCAATTCTGATAACTGCATTTGATATACACATTTTGTTGTACAATCTTATCTTTATTGTTTTGGAAATTAGGTTTACATAACTTATTTCTATTTCTATACTAAATATAACTAATTCCAATAACTGTTTTTTGGTGTACACATTTTACCTTTAATATTTTGACAACTACTTATATGTTATGATGATAATTATTTTCTATTATCTTACATAATCATGAACACAAAGGTGTTGTTGTGTATGGGTTTCCACTAGTATAAGATAAAATTATTGCTCGAGAAATCAATCTAGTATACTAATAGTGATAAGGCTGAGAAGATCTTCCCAGTATGTAATGTAAGACTAATGCATTGGTGGCACAATTTAATACACTTTGTGTTTGTAAGTATATATTAATAAATTATATGCTTTTGCTTCTTCAAAAAAATATACATGATAATGTTGTATTCAGTCTTTCATTAGACATAATATTAGTAGTTTAATGGTTATACACGGTATAAAAGCTTTTACATAATCAGTTTTGTATGACGTTAACAAACTTATTATACACGTTTGTGATTTATCATAAATTTGCATGTCTAACAAATCAATAAATAGGAAAATGAAGAAAATTCAAAGTACCAACCTCAGCCAGTGGCTGAAGTCTCACTGGCTTGCTTCTTAAGAAGGATCCTCAACTTTTCTGCTTTAACTTCACTACCAAAATTTTGTTCTCACTTACTAGGGATGATATCTGTAGATAAAACACAATATTTCAGCAGGAAGATGTCTTATGTTTCAGCATATCAAAATCTTATTGTCTGTTGATCTTTTTCTACCTCATCTATCAAGATCATTGATATTTTTACGTGTTCACTGCATCAACTTGGTGTGTTAACATTACAGCTCATTATTCTTAGTGTGAATTTTCAATCCAAATGGCTTACGTCTAAATTAAACATAAATTGGAAGAACCCAGATGCATGTTGCATCACAGTTTATACAAAAAACTCTTAAACAGCAAATGAAAATTTTAAAGGAAAAAAATGCTTAGATAATGATTTTACATAATCTTACAAAATTAACTTGTAAAAATAAGGTTTATAATTAATAATATACTATAATTTGACTATATTTCTAACTAAAGATCTCCAACATAACTACACTTACAAATAGATTTTATGCCTAATTC